TCTCTGCGACATCGTCCAAAGAGGAATTAACCAAGCAAACAGGTGGTGCGCAGACGTAGGTTTAAATATCAACCCTTCCAAACAGCTATAGTCCCCTTCACCAAGAAACGAAATTTCCAGGGGATGAGGAACTTGGCCTTAGATGGGGTCGTAATCAATGTTTCCAGAGGTAAAGTATCTGGGGCTTGCCCTGGACTCCCAAGCTTCCCTGCAGAGCCTACGTTGATGCAGTCACCTCTAGGCTACGAGAGCGATGATGGTGTGTAAGCGTCTAGCGGGAAAATCCTGGGGGTTCTCTCAGACAATCCTCAGGGATATACACCATTATAGTGAGACCGATAGTGACCTACGGTGCGGTGGCTTAGAGTTCCAGAACTACCCTGGAAACGGTGAGTCGCATATGTCCGACGGCGGCGCTGGAGGTTATGCAGGAAATCGAGCCACTGCATATTTCAGTAGAACCGGCTGCAAAGCGAACCCTCCTCAATTTTGCGAGGGAGGGATTTGGTAAAGGCAAGGTGTTATCATCTAGGAACAGGGAAAAGATAGGCACCCAGCTTCCCCTATCTTTGTTCCCCAGGGACAATATTAACAAAGAGGTGGTTTTCAAAAGAAACTTCAAGATCTACACTTACAACAAGGCGACCTGGCACCTGGTACTTCTATTATGGAGAGTCACATACAGGCGAGCACACTACAGTGGTACACTGATGGCTATAAAACACCTGGAGTAATGGGAGCTGGCGTGTACGGCCCCAGGCTGCAGCTTTCGGTGCCCTTGGGAACCTTCCCTAGCATCTTTCAAGCGGAGGTTTACGCAATTAGTCTGTGTGCTGAGATCAACATTCGTAGAAAGTATGGGAATGAAAGGACAGTTATATTAAGCGATAGTCAGGCGGCACTTATGACCCTCTCATCATTCGAGATCAAGTCCTCCTTGGTACTGGAGTATGTAGAGAGGCTTAATGCTCTGGCAGAGGTTAATGAGATTCAACTGATGTGGGTACCAGGGCACAGGGGTTCGTAGGTAATGAGTAAGCTGGTCATCTGGTTAGAAAGACCGCTGCCTCGACCCCGATAGGACCTGAGCCCTTACTTGCAGCGGGACCCAACACTATAAAGGAAATGCTCAGAAAGGAAAATACCAAATTGAAGGAACTGCACTGGCGTAACACCATGGGTCTACGTCAGGCACAAAGCATACTAGGTGGAAACAATCTGATAAGATATAGGTTTCTCATGGATCTCCCCAAGGAGGCCATTGCAGGCTTAGAGGGCTTATATAAACTAGGAATCTGGTCCAGCGACCTGTGTCTTTTGCGATGCGGCCAAGGAGACTCCATTCCTTCTTAAGGAGTGTGAGGCCGTTGCACGCAGGAGGAATAGGAGCATAGGGCACCTGTGGCCAAGAGCGGAGCACATACACTCACTATTCCAGGGATCTACCCAGTGGGAAAAGTGGTAATGCATTACATGCGTGATAAATAATATAATGTATTTCTAATGAGTTGTAGATTCTATTACGGTTTAATATGTAATCAGAATTCTAATGTATCCAAAAACTCGCAAAAATTTCATATTAAATCACATTCATTCTTGCACTACTGGTAATGAAGAAATGAATGCCCCACTTTTCCTAGGACATCAACGTAGGAAAAATAATACATTTTCGAAAGTGAAAACGACTGTTTTACCGATTATCTTTTCGATTATTATACATTACTTTTTCCCACTGGGTATTATGAAATTTTTAAAGTCTCTGGGGCTGGTCGAGGTGTTTTGATGAGCTAAAGGCACAATAGACCTACCGGTCACAGTGCTACACCTAACTATCTATCTATCTATCTATGTATAAAATAAAAGTAACAAACCAAAAGAAATAATTCAGTTCTCAAAAAGTGCACTTTCTACCGATTCTCCGCCGATTTCTCAATGTTTTTTTTAATTTAAATTGACTTGGAAAATAGTCTTTCCGCGGAAGCAGAAGGAGTAAAAATATATTTAATCAGTTTATACATTATAGGAAAACACCGTTCTCCGTAATTTCGCATCATATTAAATATAACAGACCAAAAGTCAGTGGTTTCTTGAATGTCACTATCAATATTCCTTATTGACCGAAATTCATTGTCAATTGTTATTAAATCATCCTCGCTAATCACGGCCTTAAATTGATATTTGGCCTTTTGTATTTTGACATCAATAGATTGGCAATGCTTTAAAATTTCTTCATATTTTCCAGAGAAACGTTTTCTTATTCCCTCTATGACACACACATAATAACTAATACATTTCTGTCTAAATTCATTTAACGCGTGTTCTTCAATGTTTAGATGCCTGTTTGCCTGTATTTTGTTGTTGCTTCGGGTATCGAAGGTGCCAAAAACTGTTCTGATTTTTTTCTTTTACATCAAATCGAGCCATGCGAAATACTAAAAAAATAAAAAATTTAACTTGAAAAAATGAAAATTGTTGCAACTTTCTTTCTTAGTAAATTGGTTCGCTTCTCGAAGCATTGATCCATCCTGTGCCAGGCCCAGTAATCAGCGGTTGTGCTGCTGAATTGGGCGAGCGTTCCAAAAGCTGCTATTTAATCGCTGGTTTTGTATGGAAAATGTTTCACCTGCAAATAAATTTTAACAATTTAGAGTTTTTGTGAGAACAAATTAAAAATATTTAATATTTTCGAGAACAAATAATTTGAAAAAAAATCAAATCAGCTGCTATACTGATATTACATGTTCAATGTGCCTTGGTTTAATTGTATTTTTGGAATAAACAAAGTTCTTTTTCCTTATGTCAGTAAACTGTTTTTTTTACAAATAGTATAAATAAGCAGTGGGAAATAAAGCAAAATTTGTTTTATTTCCAACCTTTGTTGGAAGTAAAGCAAAACTCAGATTTTGGTATTATTTCCCATTTAAAAGTGAAATAAAGCAAATTTGAAATAAGTATTGAACGTGTAGCACTTTCAAAACGCGATCCATAATTTCGCCAATACATCTTTTACTCGAACGTCCCCTCTGCCTTCGCTCTCGGGCCTTAAAATCTTTCACACCAAATTTTATTTAACATTGGAAATTTTAAAATAATTGTGGAGTGCATTATCTGTAAATTATACGTACAAAATAAAAATATTTTATTGCGTCATAAAAAGCATTCAGCACAAAAATTATGCAAATACTGACGCGATAAATATTGAACATGTAGCATTAGTGCGCGATCCATCAATATGGATCGCGATCGAAATATCGCGATAATTACTGACCGTGTGTCAGAGCCCACTGCCATAGGTGAAACAGTGTTACTTCTTTAAAAATTCTTTGCCTAAGAATATAGTTGAATTTTTTTTTATTTCTCCTCTGTATACACATCTTATTTCCTCAAAAAGGTATTTTATCTTATTTTATTTCATTTCATTACCAATATACTATTAAAAAAACAAACTTAATAAAATATGAAATTTTATATATTTCCACCAAATGGGGATTAATTTGTTCCCGTGTTTCTTTATATTCTACTGAGCTAAGGGAGTGTCAAATCCAGCTGTCACAACTGATACCACCTTGTCATGATTCAACAATACAAGATTAGATAACTATTGACAGCGCGGTTTGATACTCCCTTACAAAAGGTTGCATTTACGAAGGACAGGGAAAGGGGAAGAATGCAATCCCTTGTTGCGAAAATGGTAGTAGAAAAGTACGCAATAAATTGTTTGCACTTCCACTAGCAAATTTTCAAATAAAAAGTGCAGCTACCACTCGTACCTGCATAAATGCATGATCTTTTCAGTGTTCACATGTGATTTGTGTGCATTAAAAGTATTTTATTTTATTATTTAACAATATAAAACGCGTTTAATCATTTCACTACTTTTCTACAACAAAGTAAAAGAGCAAACAAATCAAAATGGATATATTACCCGAAAAAAAAAGTGCTACCAGATGTTGGAAAAGTAAGGACAGTAAAATACGCAACTTATATTTCATAATGATCTCCACAACATAAGGGTAAAAAAATCAAAAAACCTTAAAAATGGGAAAATTTGGAATAAAAAATCGTACGATATTTTATTCCGAAATTTCGCCCGCGGCGCTATTTAAGAAAAAATCAATAAAAAGGTGAAAAAAGGGAAAATTTTCGCCTGCGACGCTATTTAAACATTATTAAAATCGTCTGGCAGCACCAACTTTGGTGTTCAGTTGAAACTCTAGTATGTTTACTACTTCACTACTTTTATAAATGATTTATCGTGTTAACTTAACAAAAATACCATACTACTTAAAAGAAAATGGTCACGTGCATTAAAAGTGTTCAGAATTAAGTCACATTTATCTACTTCACGCACTTTTGGATGATAAAAAGAATGCAATTTGCATGAACATATTTGGTGAATTTCGCAGCTTTCACAACAAATTATTTAAAAAGTATAAGAGTGCGCGGGTTGAGGTCTTCACTCTTAGAATCAAAATACCCCCCGCCCCCAAGCGCTTATTGCTTGACATCTATTTATTTATTTATTTATATATTTTTTACAGTCTGCTAGACTTATATTGCAACAAAGATTTAACATTCTTATAATTAGATTTTAGATTTAAAATGTAAATATTAAATATTAAATACAAAATTGCAGGCAATTCGATAGTTTGACAGCCATATTTTAATTTGAAAGAAAGCGTGCTGGTGGTAACATCGATGAAATTTTAATATTAAATCAAAATAAAAGTCTGTTCCTCATTGGATTATTTATGATTACGTTTTAGGAAATTATTCAGCAAGTTTTTAAAAGATTTAAATGTTTTTAAAACACCGACATTGAGAGAATGTTGTCTTGTGGCGTCATGCGGCAAATGCTTATTTCAAGACATCAAAATGCCCACAACTAAAAACTTGCAATCACATTGCTCGTCAAAATCACAAATGGTAGGCCATCGGTGTTTGCCTGTGAGTTCTGCGGTAATGGAGACATCAACTTACATGGTAAGAATCGAGTATCTAAAGGCATTTACTTGTATTGTTTCATCCCTATTGTTGCATATGTTCATACATTTCCTGGTAGAGGAAATGCTAAACAAAAATTTTGTGAAAGTTGGTATAATAGTTATTTGTGGAGTTGAGATAACTATATAAATAATGCCTTATTTGCAATTTTTAATACAACCTGCAACGGGAACTGATGAGCAGTTCATAGAAAGGTAAATTTTGGTAAACATGTATATTTACAAGCACATAAAGTTGAGACTATTCGCTTTCACACAGCGGCTGATAGTTAAATGGTTCAAATTTATTTTAATTTTTCGAATAAGTAAGAAATAAAGGCCATTGATTTGCCACTTTTTTAAAAATACCAATCGTTTGCAGTTTAAGTTATTTTGTAAAAGATATTCCAAAAGTTGCCGTACTCAAGGTACTTCCGTTGACGTCGCAGAATAAACTTTTTCAATAGAAGCCTTGGAAGCCTGGGGTCTTCGCCTTTTTCGAAAAAAGAAAGGCCATTGATTTTGCAAGTTTTTTAATCTGACCAATCGTTCGCAAAGTCTTATGTTATTTTGTAAAAGATATTGTAGGTACTCATTCTTTCGTTGATATCACAGAATCAACTTATTCAATAGAAGCCTCTGGAGCTTGGGGCTACGCCTTTATGCACAAGAAATGATATATATTCTTGGCGGCCCCCTCTTTTTCAGCAACACGGATAGGTGCAAGTCATCAACTCGAAACAAGCGAAAGCGAAAGTAAAAATTGCTATTTTTGCCCATTTTTGTAAAGCCTCGCTGGGGAACCCTAGGGGCATAGGCATTTGGCAGTTCATGCCCTCCTTAGAATGGGGTATGGGAGCTGCCACGCCTTCTCCCACTCCGCTTACCACGCTCACAATGATCGGCTGTGAAGAAAGTTTCCCCGTATGTATACTATTTCTAATAAAAGTCTTAGAACGTTGCAAAAACTAAAAAACAAGTATGGACGTGGATAGAGGTTTTTGAGACAAGTATAACGGTATATTTTTTTTGTGGCGGAAATGACAACAACGGTAGTTACGAAAGGTCAATGGTTGTTGTTGTTGTTGTAGCAGCATACAAATTCCCCAAAGACTTTTTGGGGAGTGTTGCTGGAGTGACAGTCCTTGGCCAGATATAAATCTGGGTCGTTCCGGTTACGTAGACCCGACTGTCGTGGGAACGAAAGGTCAATGGTCAAACGCAGCGCTTTTTTCAAATCCCAATATCTCGAAAACGGATTATAGAAATTTTTATGTCATTCAGAAGAAAATATGAGTCGCTTTAATTAGATAGGTATATAAATGTTATAAATATCTTTTAAAGATTTAGCAAAAATCCAATTTACGTAAAAAGTAGTACCAAAAATTTTAGATACCAAATTTTTTCTTTAAAAACATGAGTCAAGCTTTTATTTGAAATAAAACATACATATTGTGTTCAGTCCTCGCTAATCGGAGTATTTCAAAAAAACGTGTTCTTCGGCAACACGGAAAGGATAATTCTACTTAGTAAAGGTTATAATCAGGCATGGACAGAGACTAATATTACATTTACATTGGACCAAAATGCGTGATTTGAAATCAGTCATTTGAAGGTGTTTACACTGCTTGATCCGCATTTGCTTTGACTTCTCATCAAATGTAAAGGGAAGACAAAAACAAAATGTATGTAAACAAACACTACATTTATTATATTGTTCACGCTTTTTGGACACAAAAAGGCAATTATTCTTTGATTAAACTAAAAATGTGTAAAGCTCTTGTATAAATTAACAATTTTTACACACAAATTTCAAAGATTTATTTATTTCGTTGTGTTTGTTTTGTGTTTGAAAAATTCCAAATGTCAAAGACAAACCAAAGCTTTTGTGGAACTTTTGTTTCTGAGTGCGTTCAATAAAATAGTACGGCAATTGGAACGCATTTGTCTCGTGATTTTGTGTAAATGCGTCGAAATGCGTCATTCTGGAAATGTGAATTTGTATGGAGAAATGCGTGATTTGGCCTCGCATTTGAGGTTTCTCGCCCAAATGACGCATTTGGGCTCAATGTAAATGTAATATTAAAGCTTAAACAGGCGGCAGCTTTGATCGGATCAACTTGGGAATTAACTGCAGTTGATCCGGATTAAGTGCGAGTTAATCCGGTTCAACGCTGCCGTCTAAGCTTTTAGAAGGTGCTAAAAGAGCTTAACCCGCTTGTTTTAGAACCCGAATTTTCGTAATTCGTAGCTACGCTACGAAAACCATGCGGAAACATGGGCAGCATGCCAGCTATCAGTGGATTTTCGAAGATAGCTGAATGAAGGAAAACAAAGAGGAAAGGAATTAAAAAATCACTCATCATGTGTTTGTTTATTGTAAAATTGGTTAACTAAATATTTTGAGGAAAATTATGGATTCTGATGTATTTGCAATTACAGCAGCAGAGTAAGCGGGCGCTATGGCAATGGATTCACAAAGGTATGCGGAGATGTCGGCCATAGTAACCATGGGCGCATCTATGTCAGCTTCTGGTTGAATTGTTAAACCACAAGCCCGAACTCCTCCTATGCCTGAAGCTCTGGTTCTCAATCCAGTTAATACAATAACAGCTTCTTCCAAGCCATTGAAAACATGCACTTTGTTAGGTCCACCACCTGTTTCGCTTGCTTCTGCCTTCGGCCGCGCTTAGGGTTTATAACCCTTAGTAAGTAGAATTTTTCTTTCTTTGTTGAGGGGCTTCCGCATGTCAAAGGTATACAACATTTCTTGTGCATATCGCTCCGGCTACGCCGTCCACAGTATTTTTGCGCAGAACCCACGTCGAAATTTGCAAAAAAGTGCATAGTGCAAACCGAGTATATAAATAAGCTAGTGGTAGGAAGTTTTAAACATCTTAAATAAAATTTGAATCCTTTGATTACACGTGTATGTTAAAGTTTTTGGATTCGGGTTATGCGTTTGGACACAACAACCGAAAATTGTTGTACAAATAACTAAACACAAATTTCTCGATAAGGGGCAACAAAGATTCTTTTTTTTCTCGTTTGTATAAAGCAGTGGATAAAAATATTCGTACATACGAAATGCAAATTTATCTGTTTAAATGAACACCACCAATATTTCTTGCAAACACACATCGATTTACATCTTTTATTTCGCCTCCGACACACAATTGGTTACGAATTTCGAAAGTTGGAAAATACGATTCGGATTGCAGCATTTCTACGATTTGTAGCAAAATCCGAATATGAAACAGTTGCAGAATAGGGGTATAAGTATCGCCTGGACGTAGGCAACTGCTTGCAGAAGGGCCCTCGTCCAGGTACGTCAGGAGGCATCTCTACGAACTGACGGACGAAGTCCAGAGGTCCACTAAACAACCTCTGGACCCGTCAGCTTATCGACAGAACCTGAACGGCATTCTCAGGTAGTCAGTCTCGTGTTATGTAGACTCCAGACCTGTGAATGTCGTTCTAGTCGCACAACCACCGGGCATTGACGAGACGGAGCTTCATCTGCCTCGGGAGACTAGAACCCCAATAGTCCAACTTCACTTTGGCTATAGAAGCAAGTTAAACTTATACCTGAGCAGACTAAACGCAGATGTACCAATTGAGTGTCCGGCATACGGAGATACACCCCATGACTCGTAACATCTTTTCGTATGCCCGGAAAACCCGACAACCCTAACGCTTTTGTCCGGACCGACCCTATTAAGGCTCCACGCTTCTTGGTGCTGCCGTTAGTGGAATTTGACGACAAAAACTGAGATATTCATGCCTATTACGGTATCCGACGGATGCCATCCGCACGGATCTAATCCCATTCGCACTGTCATAACAAGCGAATGAGAAGGATTAGATTCATTATCGCCCGATAACTCTCCTTTCCCCGGTAGCGAAGACACTCCAGGCCCTGCTGCTCCCGTACTTCACGACCCACCTGACCCCAGCGAAGCATCAACATGGGTTCCGTAAAGTGCATAGTACAACAACAGCACTTAACGCCATAAACTCTCAGATAACTCGTGGCCTAAACCGAAACCGCCCCTGTGAGAGAACTATTCTAGTAGCGTTGGACCTGTCGAAGGCGTTCGACACTGTCAGTCATTCAACGCTACTAGAAGACATAGAGGCCTCCTCACTCCCACAGGTACTCAAACGGTGGTCGGCGAATTACCTGAGTGGTCGACACTCGTCAGTAATCTCCAGAGACAAAACCAGCAAGCCACGTAAAATTAAACAGGGGGTACCACAGGGTGGTGTCCTGAGCCCGCTTCTGTTTAATTATTACATATCAAAGCTTCCTCAGCCACCAGAGGGTGTTAATATAGTCTCATATGCTGACGATTGTTCGATCATGGCGTCTGGGAATGGAATTGATTACTTGTGCTGAAAAGTTAACGGTTACCTCTCCGAACTTTCTCGCTTCTTCACTGCAAGGAGCCTAGCCCTATCCCCTGCGAAATCCTCGGCAACCCTTTTCACCACCTGGACGAAGGAGGGCAGACTGCCACTGGGTATTCACTTCGATGACGTAACAATACCGACGGTGAATAACCCGAAAATCCTCGGAGTTACCTTCGACAGTCTGCTCTCCTTCTCGGCGCATACAACCGCAATTGTCAACAAAGTACAGAGCCGCCACAATGTCCTCAAGCGGCTGGCCGGCAGCACTTGGGGCAAAGATAAAGAAACGTTGTTGGCAACATACAAGGCAATTGGCCGGCCGGTTCTGAACTACGCAGCGCCCGTTAGGTCGCCAGGGACTAGCAGGACGCAGTGGATGAAGCTGCAGACCTGCCAAAACACTGCATTACGAACCGCGACAGGATGCCTCCTGATGACGCCTCTACATCACCTTCACGACGAGGCCCAGATGCTCCCGGTAAAGGAGCATAACATAATGCTCTGTAAGCAGTTCCTCGCTGGGAGCTACAGACGTGGCCATCCCATCGGGCAACTGCTCGCGGAAGAGCCCTCGCCGCGGCACGTCAGGAGGCATCTTTACGAACTGACAGACGAACTCCAGAGGTATATTAAACAACCTCTGGACCCGACTACCTACCGACAGGCCCTCAACGGCATTCACAGGGAATCAGTCTCAAGTTATGTAGACTCCCGCCCTGTGAATGCCGTTCTAGGCCTCGTGAGACCCGCACAACAATAGCCCAACTTCGCTTGGCTATTGCAGCAGGCTCAACAGCTACCTG